AATTTCACACTTAAGTTAAAATCACAGCTAATTAAAGAAAATGTTATAAAATCTCTTTCCTCATGTAATTTCTGTTCTCTCTTATTGTTTCTATGTTCTAACTTTATAGCTGACCAATCCACCCACTTCTACGGCCAACAAATGGAAAGAGCTGAGAGTAGAAAACATCAGCAAGGCAAAATTACGCAGTTAAACAAGGCAAAATATCTAAGATCTAGTTTGTCTGAAAATAAGAGAAGGACTTAGGCTTTTAATTCAAGTCCTGTGTCCTATGTTAATGGCAATCCATTCAAAATTCTAACTAGAATTTTGTATTTGCTTCAGTACATAAATAATTTATACAAAATATCATTTTCAATGACTTGCTCTCCAAAGAAATAGAACAGCAAAGAGTTGTTTGTCATTTCCCAGACTCCTTTGTGGCAAAAAGAATAATGCCAGAATAATACAGTACTTCAGTAATTATGAATGCATTCTACTAGCATCCATAACTACTGAACTTACAAGCTAAATTGTAACAAGTATACCATAATTCCAAAATTATAACTTGATGTTTTTCTTGCCATTTCCATACAGAAGATTGTCACTAATGTCCTGCTGATGTCTGCGAAGCCATGTACTGAAAGGCTAGAATTAAAATAAGTTTCCTTTTGATTCTGGCAGAATATATGACCTGCCAAACATTGGAGTCCATTTTTCTGCTGTATTTTTCCATAACCAGGCATTCCTCAAACTGTTCTTCTCATGAAATATCTCCTTTGATATTAACTACCATGAAGTTTAAATCTCATCCATTTCAAAGAAACATCTAGTTTGACTGCCATCAAACTGAGTCAATCCAAAAATGTTGCCAATTTAAGTAGCAACAGAGAGATGCTGAAAAATGTATTTGCCAAATTGTCAATGTGTAGTAGATTCCAAATCTGTTTTTGAAATGGATAAAAGAGCAACAGGTTGTAATTGTCAGGGTTATATCTGACTCCCACATTGAAAATGGGGATTATACGTTCCAAATTTTTCTCTGTAGGAAAGGTTCTACTTGTCAATAACAGATTTAAAAGAACAGTCAGGGGCTAGGCACTGATATCTCTATCTTAAGCCAATTTTAAAACATATGCATCAAGAATATCGGCTTTGCCTCCCTTCTCTCAACCCCTGTTGTAATCCTCTTAGTGTGTTCTTTACCTCAATGAGCAGCAAGATTCTACAATAAAATGCCCTGCAGATATCCGTCACCTCTGCCTGAATCCATCTTTAAAAGTGCTCCTTTTCCGGTTATTAAATTACTATTCCCAATGCACTGATCACCACTCTGTAAATAATTGGAGACATTTTTCTGAAGGATTTTAAAGGTTTCAGCTATGGAGGAGCTGTTTGTCTTTGAAAGCTTCTCTTTACTAGCCAATTTATCAAATTTTTGCTTTCTTACACTACTATTTTTGTTGAACTAAAATTTTTAAAAACTCAAAATGCCATAACATATAAACATTTACTTGAGAGAGTGTTTTCTCATTTTCACTAAATCATTAAAACCATTAAATAATGATAAAATAACTGTAGACTGTTATTCTGTCATTTTTCAACATTTTAGAAAATAGAGTTATCTTGTTATAGTTATCCCACTTTGACATAAAAGCAAAGAGAAAAGCCTCCTTTGAGGTCCTTTTCTCTGATATCTCTTTGCTATCCAATTGTTTTTTAGGTTTGAGTTAGTCTCTGAATTAGTTAATTGACTAGTAAATTTAATTCAGGTCAGCTAACTGAATATCTAGATATTGCAGCAGAGACGGGGATGATCAGGATACTCTTTGCCTTTGAGAAATTTTCAATTTAGCAGGGAGGATAAGACAAGAACCTCCTGAGTTATCTTCCTAATATGAAGATCAGATTACATCTTGCCTCTGCTCAAATATTTTCGATGGTTCCTTGCTTTCTAGAGAAAATCCAGAATTCCCTAATATCGAATTAAGACCCTTCATGATCTGATCCTAACATCCCCAATAGAGCCTACCATTCTCCCCCATCTACGCTGATGTAACCCGAAATATGATCAGACTTGGAGCCTAGCTGATTTTGAGCCATTCAAGAAATTGTAAGAGGAACAGCATCTAGTTCAACATCATTGTAAATGGCTCAGAAGGGAAACATCATACCTGGTTTGGAAATGGGGTTGGACTACAGAAAGATTTCATGAAGCAGTCACAAACCAGATAGGGCTAGAATGATGGGCAAGATTTTTTTTTTTTGAGACAGAGTCTCGCCTCACTACAACCTCTGCTTCCCGGGTTCAAGGGATTCTCCTCCCTCAGCCTCCCGTGTAGCTGGGACCACAGGCACGCGCCACCACACCCAGCTAATTTTTGTATTTTTAGTAGAGTTGGGGTTTCATCATGTTGGCCAGGATGGTCTCGATCTCTTGACCTCATGATCCACCCTCCTCGGCCTCCCAAAGTTCTTGAATTACAGGTGTGAGCCACTGCACCTGGCTGATGGGCAGGATTTTAATAGCCTTTACTGAATACACCAAACTCTGTGCTAGGATATGGCACAAGGGTGACAGAGAAGGCTGGGTGTGGTAACAAGGAAAGGTGGAATACTAGTCAAAGAGGTCCACATGTGCATAACAACAGAAATCATGGAGTGCTTTCAGAAAAAAGCAAATAACAATCTGGCTTGGCTAACACACAAAGACCATATTAGAGAATATTCAGCCTTGAAAGATAGGTTATGGCTAACTAAGCAAACAAAAAAATACATTCATCAAATATGTATTGTGCATTTTCCCTACATTCAAGACTTTGCGTTCGTGCTTAGGAACACAAAGACAAGTAAGACAACGCCTGTACCCAGAGAATCCTCAGTTTAGTGGAGGAAAAACATAAAAGCAAATACCTATACCAAAACACAAACTCAACAACAATTTTCAAAGGAAGATGAGTCCTGAGAAAACAAAATAAAGATTAATTCTTTCCAGAGTATCTAAGAAGGGTTTCTGGAAGAAGCAGTTGAGTAAAGCCTTAAGAAGCAAGCAATGGTAATGGTTGGGGGTATATCCCAGGCAAAAAACAACACAAACCATGGCACAAGTATATGAAAGTGGAAAGCATGTTCTACTTCACAATTGATTAACTCTGACTGTAATGTAGAGTATACAGAGCAAGAGGAGAAAATTGGAAAGGTAAGTTGAGAGTGGAGGTAGATTAGAAGAGAATCATGGAGATCAATGAAGTCCAGATGAAAATTTGGAAAGTCAAAAGGCAACAGCCAGGCATACATGTGTTTTTTTGTTTTGTTTTGTTTTGTTTTTTGTTTGTTTGTTTGTTTTTGAGACAGAGTCTCGCTCTGTCACCCAGGCTGGAGTGCAGTGACGTGCTCTCAGCTCATGGCAAGCTCCACCTCCTGGGTTCATGCCATTCTCCTGGGTTCATGCCATTCTCCTGCCTCAGCCTCCCGAGTATCTGGGACTACAGGTGCCTGCCACCACGTCTGGCTAATTTTTTTGTATTTTTAGTAGAGATGGGGTTTCACCGTGTTAGCCAGGAAGGTCTCGATCTCCTGACCTCATGATCCGCCCGCCTCGCCCTCCCACAGTGCTGGGATTACAGGCGTGAGCCACCGCGTCAAGCCCATACATGTGTTTTGAACAGGAAAATAATGCTACAGCAAAAACTTAACAAGGAATACCAACAGGATCAGATCTACAGCAAATAAATCTTAATGTCAGATGAAGGAAAAATACAAAATACAAAATACATTAATGAGTACATCATTCTAGTTACTTTAATTTTCTAAATTTTCTCACAACCAGGCAGAAGTAGAAATATCTGATTCTATTTTTATAAGTATAGTTATTTAGATCCATATGCTCCTTGAAGCAATCAATATTTTCAGTTTAAATTTGGACATAATTGAGAAACTGAATGGGTAGCATAAAGAAATTTTAAAAGAGCAAGTTGGGGCAATGTGTCTCTTGCATTGACTCTTAGAAATACAGGGCCCAGTTGATAGGAAGTCCTACTTTCTTTGGACTGCTCTGTCTCCGTAAGTGACTTTTGATTTTGATTTCACATGTTAAAAAATTAAAGTTTACACTGCTAAAATGAGCAACAATCATACACAGAGTTTGCCAGCTAAGAAAAACAAAATAATTATTCCTTCTTTGGAGATAGATTTAAAATGCCTTTCATAACTGAGCTAGAGGAAAAAAAAAATCTTCTTTACTGGAAGGATAAATTTCTAAGTGTAAACTGATATGGACCTTTGGGATTGGGTTGCCATGAGTTAGGTTTCCTAAACAACTTGTGTTCCTTAGATACATTGACCTACAGAGCAAATAGATCAGATCCTAAACTATAGAGATAGCAGCCATCTTAAAGACTTCCTTAAATAACTCCAACTTATTATTATAGCTATTAATAGTACAAAGAAAATATGCCAAACAACAGGGCTTAAATACATAAATCAGGTATAAGGTTTTCAGGTAGGAATTATATATAGTGCTTTCTGTTTTGAAGTGCCTGGTTAATTAACAGGAAGTAAAGAATAACACCTGCCCCAACATTTGTAAAAATAAGTTATAGTTTAAAAAACTGTAATATAATTTATAGTTTTAAAAAAACTGTCACAGTCCGGGCGCGGTGGCTCATGCCTGTAATCACAGCAATATGGGAGGCCAAGGTGGACGGATCACTTGAAGTCAGGAGTTCGAGACCAGCCTGGCCAACATGGCAAAATGGCCAACATGGCCCATCTCTACTAAAAGTACAAAAATTAGCCAGGCACAGTCCCAGCTACCTGAGAGGCTGAGGCAGGAGGATCGCTTGAACCCAGGACGCAGAGGTTGCAGTGAGCTGAGATCACGCCACTGCATTCCACCCTGGGCAACAGAGCAAGACTCCATCTCAGGGAAAAAAAAAACCTGTTACAAATACCCATTATATGTTGGCTGAGTATCCAACGCATAAAGTGCACCTTTTAAAGTAGGAGAACTAAAATCTGACCTTGTTCTGTAGAAAATGGTTCTCCAAGTCCACCTTTTCAAACTGGTCAGGTATCTGTTGACTGGTACAGTTGAAATTAATTGGAAATCCCTCACAAACTTCCCAACTAAGAAGAGTAAAATATGTAATTATTTGTATTAGAATAATATGCATTTAATTACAATACCCTTTACTCTTTATACTCTTTTCTCTTTACATATACACTATTACTAATAACTTATACCTCAAATCTTGCCTGGAAAGCACCAGCAGTCATTGGGGAAGAAAGCTGTTATTTAAACAACTACCAATGCGTATGTCCCTCTAGACATATTTAGCAATAGGTTGTCACTGGCTGGACTCAGTGATCTCATCAGACTGCTTTTGGTTCTCTGTATATGCCTTCTACTTCAGCATTTTCAACTGTTTATTAAAAAGAGCTATAATTTGTTAAATTATAAGATTGTTAAAGCTAGATGGGACCTTACAGATAGATTACTTAATCCAAAATAGTATCAGGATCTGCTGCGGTGTCCAATATGGTAGTCACTAGCTACCTATTCCTATTTAAATTTAAATTAATTTACTTGAACAAAATTTAAAATGCAGTTTTACATTCACACTAGTCACATTTCAAATGCTCAGTAGTCACAAAGTGTGTGTCCGTCATCACAGAAAGTTTTATCGGATGGCACTAAATAGTGGCTAAGCACTCAGGTACTTAAGACAAATGATCTGGGTTAGAATCCTGACTCTACCATGTACCAGCTGTGTGACTTTGGACAAATTACTTCTCTTTTAGTGCCTTGGTTTCTGTCTCTGAGAAATGGAGTAAGAGTAGAGTAATACGGAATAATAGGAGTAAGATAATTATGAGAATTAAATCAGTCCTTACCCAATTAATTTGTAACTGTGCCTGGCCTATGGTCAACACTCAGTAAAAGCCAGTTTGTATTATTCGCCGATAAGAAACCAACACCAGGCTGGGCGCGGTGGCTCACGCCTGTAATCCCAGCACTTTGGGAGGCAGAGGCGGGTGGATCACGAGGTCAGGAGATCGAGACCATCCTGGCTAACACGATGAAACCCCGTCTCCACTAAAAAAAATACAAAAAATTAGCCGGGCATGGTGGCGGGCGCCTGTAGTCCCAGCTACTTGGGAGGCTGAGGCAGGAGAATGGTGTGAACCCGGGAGGCTGAGCTTGCAGTGAGCCGAGAGCATGCCACTGCACTCCAGCCCGGGCGACAGAGGGAGACTCCATCCCCACCCCGCAAAAAAAAAAAAAAAAAAAAAAAAAAGAAACCAGCTCCTGGACAATCATGAGCAGAGACGAAGCAAAGAGCCTCCTTAGATCTTCTAACTCCTACTCTTCACTGCCCCAACAAGTCCCCAGAACGTTGCTTTTGTTTTAAATGTACCATCATCAGATAAGAAATTTAAATGTGAACACTCATACAAAGAACATATTTTATATTTTAATGATTCCATTTTAAATGATTAATTTAGAAATAATCACTAAAAACGGCTTTTACGTTTCAAACAAAATTGCTGTTTCTGCAAAGCAGAAACTATGCTTTGCTCATGGCCCCATATGGTTTTCTAAAACTAGGGGAAGTTAACAAGTCTTTTAGGCACTACCTCATTATACCATTAAATAAATCAATAAAAGAAACAATTCTTATTTAAGATAACTGAAAAAGCATCTTTTAGTGTTTCGAATCTCTTACTCTGAAAAATCCTGAATTAAGTGGTTTGGATTACTTTAACCAGATCTTTAACAAGATTACTTGTTAATTTACTTGCCACATCCAGGTAGCAGAACAGCATTAGGATCCAAAAAGGTCTTATATGCAACCATGATGTCACCTCTGGCAAATGCACTCACTCGGTCAAAGGTCAAACCCAAAGCAAGGTTTAGTGGAGATCTGAAAAATGGAAAAAACATCAAAACTATCTTCAGAATTATACATACATTGAAATTTGAGCACAAATAAACAATAAAATACACATTATCAGTGTCTAATAAAATTCAGAAATAAGTGGGTTTCCTATCATATAGCACTATTGTTGGTATTCTATACTAACACCTGAAATGTATACTTCAGTTTATTTAGCTGATTTATAATATGCCAAAATAGTTTCAACATATGTAATTTTAAAAATAATAATTGCAATAATTAAAGCCAAGTAGTTACGAAAAACAATCGTCATTCATATAATGTTCATTTTTCATGTATAACAGTAATCGAATACATCTATAGTAATCTTGGGAGCTGATAATTAAATGAATTATTAATATTTGGCCACAAACAACAATTTTTGTGAGCTCACTAAATGCTACGCTGATTTGGTTTTCATATTACATATTGTTAGGCACACTTTTAAGTGAATTTGGAAATTAAAATCAAAAACAGATTTTAAACGAAAACAATGGCCACTATTGTACACTATCAGCCATTTTTCTATAAATAGCTTAAGACTTGCTATTTATCTCTAGAATTAAAAATTGACGACATCACCTGTGTAGTCTTGTTACCAAAAATATTTAAATTGAATCTAATTATGAGAAAACACTCAGACAAACCCAGAATGTGGGACATTCTACAAGAAAAGTGCCTGGACTCTTGAAAAATAAATTAATGTCATGCAAAACAAAACAAAAGATTAAAAGAATATTCTAGATTAAAGACAACTAAAGAAAATAACTAATATAATACAAGGAAGTGTATTTGGATACTAGATTACAAAGAGCTCTAAAGCATATTTTGGTTAGCTTGAATAGAGAGTATATATTAGAGGATATTACATCACTGTTGATTGTGTTAGATATTATAATGTGGTGACACATAATTCTTCTTCAGTTATGTGACCTGAAGCATTTAGGAGTGAAATTTTAATGTCTGGAATTGCTTTCAAGCCGCTCAAGAGGGAGAGAGAGATGGGAGATATAACAGGTAAAACAAACGTGGCAAACTCTTTAAATTAGTGAATCTAGATGAAAGATATATACAGGAGCTCATTGCACTATTTTTTCAAGTTTCCTTAGATTTAAATTTTTTCAAAATAAAAATTTGAAGGAAAAATAAAGTATTCAAAATAGAAGCGGACATTGGCAAAAATCATCTTTTACAAATGAGTAGCTTGACCCCTTCAAATCAACATAAATTAGACACAGTAGAATTACTTACTGAAAATGAAAACCATTTACTTAGTATGTATTGCACGTTTTCTCAACATATTTCAAACTAGATGGCAATAACTTTTTAGACATATACATTTTAAATATTCCCATGGTAGCAAAATGCTGTAATGGTCTCCTGGTGTTTTATGTTGGATTGGAAATCAAAAAAAAAAAAAAAAATACATTAAACTGTTAAAATCATACTGAAATACAAATAAATATATGCACCGGTAAATTTCTCTGACAACAATTCTCAGCTGATTTTTAGAATATCTCAGATTTTTTTGCATTTTACCAGTTATTCCACAAATATGATCCAATTAGCTAAAAACAAATGTTTAATATTATTAAAACGCTGCATTATAGCAAACATCATTAAAAGTATCAAAATTAGTGAGTCATTAATTTCACTTTGACAATAATATTAAAAAGAAATAATAATGACACATTTTATTAAAGCCTATCCTTGTAATAGGAAGGGCTTACTCGATTATTCAAGAATTCTTGCCACTTTAAAATTCATCAGTTTTTATCATTGTAAAAACAACTCTACTTATAATGCAATTAAATTGTATTTTGAAATTTATCTATGGACAAAAACTTACCATTCCTTAGAGATTTTTTAATTATCTAAATTACACAGCCTAAGAAATCATCAAGCATTTTAATTTTACTGGGACAGACGAAATAAAATTTTGTAACATGCGACCCACAACTTATTCTAGCAACTTCTTCCAAAACCTTGATGGATTTCTGAGTACATTTGTTTCTGTATTTGAAATTTTAACTATTTGAATATATAGCAAATCCAACAGCCCTTGCTTTGCTAAGATTTAGGTTTATTCATGCTATTTTCATTATAGTTAATATATGATCAGTTATACTCTATATGAAAAATTATTTTCCCTTATTCTGTCCTACAGATAACAAGCTAAAAAAAAATTAAAAATAGGCAGAAAAGTGTGTTTAAGTTTCCTGACAAGCAGTTTCAGAGTTCATCTGGATGTGTTCTGTCAAAATATGCATAAATTTTCTAGATACTGAACACAACAGCCCAGCTCATCACTGCCTATATACTGCAGCCTTTTTCTTTCTTCAGAAACACAGATAATTTTATGCAGGAATTTACCAATCTACAAAAATTTACACAATGCTCAGCAATAACCAGTAATTATTGTGGGATAATGTAAGGTGCTTTTGAGGAATATAACTTTGATAGGATAGGGCTTATAAGCTTTACCAATTTATCTTTAGCCGTCCTGTCATTGGTGCTTAAAAGGTTAAGACTTTATTTGTGAAAACATAGAGAGATAGTGGGGAATCATGTTGTCTACAGCTTCATAAATCTTGCTTAAGATCCTTTTCAATTACCATCCATTTCTCCTTTAAAAAGGGACAAAAAAAATAGAGGAGTGGAAGCAGGTCAGGGCAGTGTGCGACAATGACAGTGTGATGGGCTTGGGCCCCCCGTGGCGTTTCCATCTGCTATCATTAAGGTGACTACTCAGACATGAACAAATCCCTCTTGCTGTGCTGACAGGCAGACTTCAAAAACTATGACAAGGCATTAAGACAGAAAGTCACAGAGAGAGAGAGACAGAGAAAGAGAAAGAGATGTCATATTCCACAAACAATACTGCCTTGCAAAAACACCTCTGAAATTTTATTGGAATTCAAAGTAAAAAATCTTTCATAAAGGGTGCTACTTGACTTCTCAAATCCCCTTTCAAATTAGCTCACCCCTGGAAAGATTGAGGACAGAAAACAAATCCTTTGCTCCTACCTGTATGCTCTACCATAAGAGACCCAAATTTTTTGCTCATTCTTCAGCAAAAGTGGATTCTTAATTTCTTGGCCATTCTCATCAAAAAGCCGCATTGAGGAAAAATTGAGGCCTGGTGGGTTGATGGAAGAACCTCGAAGCCTTTGATGAATCTTGAGAAGTAACTGGTTGGGGGTGGGGGCGCAGAGGGGACAGAAGAGAATAAATAACCCGAAATGGGAACATCTGTAATAAACTGTCTCTACTCTGTAACAAATGAAGTCCAAACAAATGATAATTAAATTCATATAGAATGTTAAAAGAAGTGTGAAATGACAGCAATGTTTAGCTCAGTGTAAAGTAACAAAATGAGCATGGGCTTTTAACCAGCAGGGGGTGCCACAGGCTTGTGATTGAGCTCTGACCCTTTGGCACAGGGACTGAAAGCAGATGTGACAGTCTTACAGAAAGAGCATTTAGCTTCTACACATGGTAACGGTCCTCTTTGATAAGGGTTATGCTTTTCTTGTCTGAGCTACACATTTTGTTAGGGGCCATCCAGACCACGTTCAAGTTTTACAATCACCAAGCTCCCTGTTCCCAGCAAATCTCAGGTAAGTAATAGTAGGACAATTGCCAAAATTAAAATCACTTTTAGCCTAAGTTGGTTCAGTTAGAAAGATCTCTCCCTAGATGCATTTTAATTAGGAACCCTGAAATAGCTTGTGGACATCTTCAATAATGAATGTTTTTAAGTTGTGAGTAAGACATCATTAAAGTGTGAAGTATGAAAAGCTGTCATTTAATATTTAAAATAATAGCATTGTCAGTGTTTGCTTCTATCTTGCATTTAGAGTCTCTAAATTATCGAGATATTTCTAATTTAGGGCAAATTTCAACTATAAAGTAAATCTAACAGAACTGTGCTGCATATGGTATTTGAAAAGACATTTTTCATTATCCTCTGTCACCTTTGTTTAAGTGTTTCGGCCTCTGCTCTTCCCTGCTCTGCACTCCACCCTATCCATCACTCTTCCCCCAGCCTTCTGTCACGGGCTTCCTTTTCATCTGTCCCTTGTCAGTTCTTGTGTTTCTCGATTTCTTGTTAATCTGTAATCCCTGCAGGGATGTGGATATAGCTGTGGTCTTTTCTGGCCTAACTGCAGTTCAGGGTCCTTTATTTTCTTTTCTTTTTTGCTCCTCTATTAATTCCCATTGAGGGTATATTGAGAAGTGCTAAAGGCTGAGGCTTAGAGGAAAGAAGGGAAAGTCACAGGTCTGCCATATATCTCAGGTGTCTCACGATTGGCTGTAAACTCGACTGAGCAAATATTTCCCTTGACCAGAAACTACATGTATAGGACCTAAGAATTAGGTTTTGTCCCAATTAGAGATACATAATAGTGTCTCCAATTTAGTGTTTTCATTAGCTGAAGATTTTTAGTCTTGAGCATTAGAAAGGCATTAATAGTTCTCATCCAGCATAGCCAATTCCTTTGAACTAAAAATGATCATTACTCTCCTCTTTAGGTGTATGAGAGGCAAAGGTGTCAGAACAGTAAAAATCTATATTGCCTTGGTTATTTTTCCATTGAAATGGCAAACATATTTTGAAATCTACAGATTGTATTTCTAAAGCCCAACATTTATTTTTGTGTTGTTTCAGCCCTTGAGCTTATTTTTGTTGCTTTGCTATTATTTCAGAAAACATGTTATGCTGATCATTTTTTAAATCACAGAGATTTTGCTTTACAGGCACCACCTTTTTATAAAGGGGAATGATACAAAAGATTTAAGGCCTGATCCAGGAAAGAAATGTGTGTACAAAGAAGAGGGATGCGAGGTAGACATGCGATGTCAGCACCTGACCACTTAACCAAATTCACTTTCACAGGAGTTGCATTGCAATCTCTATTTTCTCAAGTTGGTGACAGACTGCATTTTAGGTGTTCAAAGATGAGCATTCAACAGTCTACAGGAGGTAAGGGCCTCTGTGCCCCTCATCTTTAGGTCATTGGTTAGGGCTTTGTTGTAGCAACCAAAAACTGTGATAATCTTCGCCCATTTATCTTTAAAGCTATCATCACCAGGCCTTTATAGGATAATATAGGATAAGAATTTGTTCAAGAATCTGAAAAGAATGTGAAACATCTTAGGCTAGTGGGCTAGTGATTGAGACACGTGTCCACACAAGGGAGCGGTGGTCCTTGGGTGGTGTAACAAGGGCTCTCCCAAAGAGCTTTATAATGCCCCTAGTTAATGTTTTTGCCCCAGATTTCTTGCATACAGAATCACAGCACAGCTCAATTTCAGTGTGCTGTAAGTCAATACAAAAAGTTTCTATAGAATAATATCTTCCTTTATTTTATTTATTTATTTATTTTTTTTGAGATAGCATCTCACTCTGTCGCCCAGGCTGGAGTGCAGTGGTGTGATCTCAGCTAAATGCAACCTCGGCATCCCAGGCTCAAGTGATTCCCGCACCTCACCCCCGAGTAGCTGGGACTACAGGCATGTGCCACCATGCCAGGCTAATTTTAAAATTTTTTGTAGAGATGGGGTTTTGCCATGTTGCCCAAGCTGGTAAAATATTCTAACATAAAAAGTCGGGGAGACAGGTGAAAATCCTATGAAGGCCTTTGTGTCATGGTGATTTGTATAATCAGGTATGTTATGGTAAAAAGAAACCAGTCAAGGTTCTGGATCTTTCTCTCTCTAATCATAGTATTTCTTCCTCTCTTCCAGGTCCAGCTAATGATCCAATGACAGCATCCCAATTCACATACAACTTTTTTGATTGGTTGTAAAAGCCAGGTAATGGATACCACCAGGAGAGTTAAGTCTGAGGGTGCTGAACTGAAGGGAGAAAAAGGGAGCAAGTTACAGAGCAAAGGCAAGGCAAGAGAGCCCAAAACACTGGTGTGTGCTCGGGTGCATAACCCCAATTTGTAAACAACAGGCTGTTCAGTGTCCTTTTATGCAAGACAAAGACCCAAAATAAAGACCCTGAACATGTTGGTTTTGCCTGAGAAACATCCCAATTGTCTGGAAAACAGGAAAAGGTAAGAGTGCCTATGATGTAAGCAAAACTAGCTGTACTTGCTCTTAATGAGCAGGGGAGAAGACCAAGGCTGCATGTTAATTACTCAGAATCTAGGGTTTAGAAATACCCTAGATCCAGGGCATACTCTCCACTGAATATAGCACTTTTTTAAAAGTGTAAACAAGAGGGAAATCCTGATGTATCAAAACCAGGGCCAAGCATAGACAGATTCCAAATATAAGCATGAAAAAGATTAAGAAACTGTTAGGTATGGAGTTTAGGAGTTAACACTATACTAATGCTGAAAGCCTAAGAAATTCAGAAGTCAATCTTTGCAATATCATTCTTTACAGATCAACAAACCATTGATCTTCTGCAAACAACTTTAAGATGTAATTGTCTAAATTAGTTGCAATTAACTTGCAAGACACTTTAAAGTCATAAGTAAACTGTCAGTAAACTTACTCTTTCCATCATATGGTCAGTCTGAATTGGGCTATCAGATCCCAGATCTTTTTTCCTGATACCAACAGAGATCTCTCCAGTGTTTTTACCATTTTCAAATACCTGAAAAATAAACACATTCAAAAATAAAAATAAATACATGCACACATACATACATATATTCATACACACATAGATAAATTTAGGTAGTCGTCCTTTTTCTTGGCATCGTGTCAACTGAAAATTGTGCACACGGGAATTGTGCAAAGCAAGGACTGACTGTATAAATACACATGAGTAGGTAACTGGCAGAGGAAATCAACAGCACTAAAAGAAAAGAAAGGCTCCTGCTTCTCCTTTTGGTTTCAGTGTCTAATTTGACTGGCACATCCTACAATCTTATAATAGAAGAAAATGTGGACATTAAAGGAGGAATCACTGACCACAGTGGATGCTTAAATGAAGCAAGTGTCAAAAAAAAAGTCAATAGCAATCTCACTAGCTCATTTTATTCTTCATAAAGCCACAAATAATGTGAGGAATATTTATCTTTCGTTTATACTTAAATACATCAGCGTTCAGCTCATCTTCTGGCTCACTAAAAGGAAATTTAACCTGACAGATTTATTGCATAACAGTATGATGAAAGTCATCCATTTTAAGTGCACATATCCAACAAGTTGTTGAGAACAGAGATAAAATTCATAATATTGCATTATGTAACACTCGCTGGGGAAAAAAAAATGCTAGCAAACATTCTGGTCAAAAGGATCTGAATAAACCAGTCCCGACAGGATGGCTTCACTAGAGTGAACACCACCCCTCCGACCACGCGGAGGATCCATGTGGGATGTGCCATTCACCAGGCAAGAAAGGAAGCAGCTGAGACGGACCTGATGAATAATTTAACTCCCTGCTTTTTATTTTTTTTTCTCAAAAGTTCTTTTCTTCCCTCTCTGATATGCCCATCACATCATCAGAGCCATTTTATTTATTTCTAGTGCTATTTCCAGAGAAGATAATTTGGGAGAAATACTTATTTAAAAATGAAAAAGAAAACTACCTTTTTTACATTTTTGAGAAAGTTTTTGAAATGTATTTAATTAGTCTCAATCTGGTTTTAGAAATAATGTGTTTCAGTAACACTTCCTCAGCCTTTAGTCATAAATAAAGAAAAATAACAATAGTAATGTCAAGAATGGTAGGTTTCATTCCAGTCAGTGACATTCATTGAGCTACTGATAGTCCAGTCGAGACCCTAGAGCTTTCAGCCTTGGTGCACTGAGGATTATTTTTAAGTAATAATCCTGAGTAAAGATACAATTCTGAGTAAAAAACATCTCTCTACTTTTCCAAGGAACCTTGTAATCCCAACTTTTGCCTGCAAACCTATGGAAAATAATGTGGGAAAAGACTCTTACTGTAGCCATAATCTCTTCAGGGCTCAAAACTCTCAAGCAACAGAGAGATTTAGCAATGAAGGTCACAATTCTAGGTAGCATGTATTCTGCAAGGTTAGTGTTGACAAAAGCTCAGTTTGGAGAACTTATTGATGTTCCTTTGTCGAGACTTGCTAGACATGGAGTCAGAGTGCAGCAAATTATATTCTAGAAAATAGCAGTGCCAAGTGCTAACTGCTAACCTGAGAAAGCAGAGAGGTCTTGGTCAACACCTAACACCTTCATTAGCTCACTATTTTCTTCACTACTGATAATAAGGCTTCCCTTCTATGTCCAGAAAAGTGTTCTCGAAAATAAAAATAAAAATTGGCTATGACCTCTGTAAATCCTACAAGGGCATTTTAAAAAAGAGATGTTTTAGTGGTTATATAAAAGTTTAGATGCTTAAGTGAAGGGAGGCTGCCCTCACTAGTCATACATATAATGTGTTTTCACTGTGTGTCCAGAAACCGAAAAATTCTCCAAACTGAAATCTTATGAGATTCTGTTTTTCTTAAAGCTCAGCTCTAGTGTATAAGCTCTATATTAATATGCCTATTTTTAAAATGCAACATATATATACAAAAATATATTTATGTACTTATTCCTCCTTTGCCTGAGGAATATTTTTATTTCTCATATCCAACGTTTAAACAAAGATAGCTCTCTAAAGAGAGAGTTTCTATGATTGACTTAGCTATAGGAAAATAAAAAATAGTCTACCTTTATTTTCCTCCTGCCCAATTCTTGACTTAAGAAAAATCAGCTGCTGTATTGGCTTCCCAGTGGTTCTCTGCATGGCCTCACCTCCTTACAGCTCTAAAATTAAATTCTCACCCTTGGAGTGGGATGATGCAGAAAGCCAGCTAAGGCTAGCCTTGGGTCCCAAGGAATAAGGTCATAGAACCTAAAAAAATAATGATGCACATAGCAGCTAACAACTACTGAAGAAACATCTAGGAATAGGAATAAGTTACGTCTATGCCCTTAGTAACACAAAGTACAGAGTTTCAAGAGTGTTTTCTATTCACCACAGTCTTTTTACTTTCCTTCATGTCAATATTGACTTTTCTTAAGCTAAACTAAATTAGATTAACACTGAAGTTTCATTGCAATGTCAATTCATTCACTTGACAAATATTTATTGAGTGCCTACTATGTACCAAGCACTGTTCAGGAACTTAAAAAGCATCAGTGAACTAAGATTCCTGCTCTTAACATGTTTACCCTGTGCTGGACTAGAGGGAGAGGCCAACAATAAGCAATAAGCAGAACACAACAAATGAGTAAATCATATAGCATATTCAGGGTACACCTGGATCTTGTGAGACCTGAAGTTTATATAATTTGGTGGGTCTTCTTTAACAAAAACAATGCAAAACTACAAATGCAAAACTAGTTACGAAATACTCAGAATAAGAAAACAACTTACACAGATTTAAAAAGTTGACACATAGCAAAAACATTAAAAATTCAGAAAAAGTCACAAAATATTTTCATTAATTATCCAAAGCACATGTTTTTACTTCATTGTGTTTAATCACCTCTTCATATAGTAATTCTGTAACATTTTCTAAAGAGAGAACAGAAAGATAATCCAGCCTTATCTCTAGCATGGTTAATAAAAAAAAATTATTCTTGATTAGAAGTTTATTTTGGCATCACAACTTTATTGGTCATTTCATTAAAAGTTTTAGGCTTGATGCCATATTTTGGAAAACCTCAATCATATTTCTTTAAAATATGAGCTGTAAAATGTGGAAAAATATTCTACCAATTAATTGGCCCTGTTAATTTCACACCATGTTTCTCTTCCACCACCCACCCACATACATTGGTGCCAAGCACTCTAGTGCACCAATCAGAAAACAGTACACTATAAGGTCAACAGGCAGTAGCTGTCTTCCTGGAAGCTCTTTCCATACCAAAATGGCTAGTATTAACTGAGCTATATAAAGAAGTGACTGCAAAACACTAACTAGATTACACTACACCCAACTCAATGTATCCCTAATTCAATTTCTCCTTAGCCATACCTCAAAAATGTGTGCAGTCATTTCAAAATCATGTGGTACAAGAGAGGATATGAAAGAGAAGAAATTGAAGTGGAAAGAGACAATAGGTTTAACCAATTGTAGTTAAAATATATCACGTTTGCAAATTTTACAGGAATTATGCAGGGAAGGGGCCCTAAGCTTAAGTTTCATTAGCATCATGGTAAATGCACCCTGTGTGGGTTAGAAGGTGGTGCTATGTAAAGGAGAAAAAAATACAGCAGGGCAGGGTATACAGGCCTGGGATCAAGCAGTGTGATGGATATGCTGGTCATTATATGAATCGGGTGATCTGGATAAGCCTCAAAGAGAGAAAACATTTGAGCAAAGATTTAGAGGTAAAAGAGTTAGCCCAACAGACAACTAGGAGAAGAGTACTGCATGCAGAGGGAGCTGACAGAGCAATGAAGCAAGACAGGAGCACGCCCAGTATGTTCCAGGAATTGTAAGGAAGCTGGTGTGACTGGAGCGGAGTGGTGCAGAAAGAAAGTACATAAGAAATCAGAGAGGTAAGTGGTAGAGAATGAAATGGGGAATCATTGTCGAGTTTGGAATAATGTAGTAAAAGGATCTGACTTATTAACACATTTTAAAAAGGATCATTATGGCTGCTGCCTTGGAGTAGACTGTAGGAGGCAAAGCAATCCGAAGCCAGGATGACAGTGGCTCAAATCAGAGTATTAACAATTGACATGCTGAGAAACGGGCAGTTTCTGTCGTTCTGTCAGAGTTATGCTATTTGCTTCTTTGTTTATTAGCAGGACTGGGAAATAAAATTTGTAGGTAGGTTAATATTTCAGAAACATTATGTTTGCATTTATGGATGTAAATAAATCTATGTAAATATAACTGTTCACAGGGAGTATTTGTGAAGGCATAAAAATGTCAACAAAGTATTAAAAACATTTTATTGACTGTGAAGATTGTAGAGGCATTGACTTGAACTATATAGGGAAACTTAAACTATATAGGGAAAGCTGACCTGAATGGGCAGTTATGAGCCAATGTGGTTCTTTGATGAGCTTTCCTGTAATCACTTATGACATCTATTTAAGGACTTGTGCAAGGCCTGGTTCAGTACTATTATCTGGCCTTTAATGCTATAAGTCTGGTTAAGAACTAGCTGTGGGAGAACAGCAGGTTCCCAAACTCTCCATAACCACCGGGCAGACCACCCAGGAAGCTCTTCTGTGCGTGAGCAGAAGGCCAAACACCTAAGCTTCAAAATGCCTCAGGATGCAATGCTGTCAAGAGGCAATAATAGAAAAATGACACCGCAGTGTGTTGCCAAAGTTGGTTGGCCATACTGTAACAGGATTTATTACTAGAGGTCTGGTGAAGGAAAGGAATATAAAATAGCCATACAAAACTATCTGGCATATATCAGGTGAACATAATTAAACACATAATGAACATATAAGGTTAACTTACATGTTGTCTTGGACTGGGGACCCCTGAAACTGACTCTGAGACCAAGATTTGCCTGGAGGAAGTTTACTGTGAACTCTCTCAGGACCAACGTTGGTGAGGGAATGAGTGAAACAATGGGCAGATGGGCAAAGCAAGTTGAACTGTGACACAGTTGCAACAAATGCCTCTGGTGGGAGCTCTAGAACCGGGAAGGCACTTA